CAGACAGAAGGCAAGACTTGTGGGCACCACAAGTCGAGCTTTATACATGTCTCAAGTGCTTCTATTTTTTTTTTTTAAAGATTTTATTTATTTATTTATTTAAGAGAGAGAGAAACAGCATGAGAGGGGAGAGGGTCAGAGGGAGAAGCAGGCTGCCCGCTGAGCTGGGAGCCTGATGTGGGACTCGATCCCAGGACTCTGGGATCATGACCTGAGCCGAAGGCAGTGGCTTAACCAACTGAGCCACCCAGGCGCCCCAAGTGCTTCTATTTTTTGAAAAGACTTGTACTAAACATACACTATTCATGTGGGCCTTCCCTGAATCATACACATGTATCTGTGTATTTGCGCGGTTGTACCTGTGGATGGTGCGTGTGCATACGTGTACCATGTACGTGGACACACATGGATGAGCATGGAGGTCGTGCTCTGTCTTCCAGGCGTAGGCGTCCAGTGGCAAGACCTCCTGAGTCCCGTCAATGTGGACGACAACTTCTCCTTCGGGCAAGTGCTGGGCATGCTGCTACTGGACTCTGTCCTCTACGGCCTGGTGACCTGGTACATGGAGGCCGTGCTCCCAGGGCAGTTCGGAGTGCCCCAGCCCTGGTACTTCTTTGTCATGGTGAGTTCCGCACGCTGGCTGCCTGTGTTGGGGATAGAGGTGCCCTCCGCACACACCCGGGCCCCTCCAGTCCCTGGCACATGACCCAGCCCCATGTGCGGTCAGTGAGCCGTGTGTCCCCAAGGCCCTGAGACCCTCCACTGGCCGAGATGAGCCCTGCACTCCAGGGTCTGCGAGATCCCACCACCAGAGATGAACCAGGCTGACCCTGTGCTATGTAGCCCTTTGGACTGTTTTTCTACGCACATACATATCACATACACATGCTTGTGTTTATAGAAAGGGGATCATGCTGGAAAGATGCCTGAAACTTGTTTTTTTTTAACCTGACTTAGCTATCTTAAATATAAATGTGTGGATCTGTTTATAAACATACTTTTAGATTTTTACATATATACATTTGTAAGTTTTGTTTTACTTGTCTGGATTATGTTGTCTGCACTCTGGGTAAGCCTGCCAGGGACCAAGTGCCCAGACGGCAGGTCAGGAAGGGGCTCCGAGCCTCCCCAGGATAGAGGAGGGAGGAGACACATTCCCCCGGGCGGAGGGCTACGTGCTGCGTGTATTCAGCGTGTCGGTAAACATGTTGCCGTTCATCACACACAAAATGAACCAACACGGGTCAGTTACTTGAGACCCATCTGATTTCCATCCTAGCCCTCGTACTGGTGCGGGCACCCGCGGACGGTTTTGGGAAAAGAAGAGGAAGACGATGACCCAGAGAAAGCGCTCAGAACGGAGTACTTTGAGGCTGAGCCGGAGGACCTGGTGGCCGGGATCAAGATCAAGCATGTGACCAAGGTGCCACACCCCGTGGGCTGGGCGGGTGTGGAGACCTTGTGAGCCACAAGGCGTGACACATGCCACCTTCCCCAGGGCTCTCTCCAAGCCAGGTCCTGGTCCCATGGCTGCCCTCTGACCAGCTGTCTGGGCACCAACCACTCCCCAGGCTCCATCCCCAGGGCCTGGGGGACTCAGGCTTGAGTCAGCACCACCTGGACATAACCTCCCATCAGCTTTGCAGCAAACACTTGCTGTGCTCACTGCACGGGGACGGTTGTCGGGGACGGATGTGGGGTACCTGCCCGGTGGGGGTGGGGGAAGCGCTGGGGAGCAGCATGGCCTCCAGTCAGCCTCTGCCCGAAACTTCCCACCTCTGCACTGACTGTTGGTGCTGGGCATGGGCTCCCAAGCCCCTCTGGATGGGCATTCCAGAGGGCATTCTGGAGGCAGTCGGGGGTGGGGCCTGCAGTCCAGGGCGTCCTCTGCCTTTGCTGCAGGTGTTCAGAGTGGGGAACAAGGGCAAGGCGGCCGTCAGAGATTTGAACCTGAACCTGTACGAGGGGCAGATCACGGTGCTGCTGGGCCACAACGGCGCAGGGAAGACCACCACCCTCTCCATGCTCACAGGTGAGGGGCCGTGGCCTGTGTTCTGGCAGCCCCGCCACAGGCCCACTCACCCACTGAGGCGGGACCAGGCTTGCCCGCAAACTCATGGCCAGGATGCTCGGTAGAATGAAGCAAAGCCGCATGAATAGGACCCAGGCCACCCTCACGCCGAGCAGAGGGTATCCGTGCTGAACTCACACCTCTGGGTCCTCTGCTTGGCCCTAGGTCTCTTTCCCCCGACGAGCGGACGGGCGTATATCAATGGGTACGAGATTTCACAAGACATGGTTCAGATCCGCAAGAGCCTGGGCCTCTGCCCACAGCACGATGTGCTGTTCGACAACCTGACCGTCGCAGAACACCTGTATTTCTATGCACAGGTGAGCCGGCGGCTCAGTGGACTCAGGTCGCGTGCTGGTTCTGTGGCCTGTGTGCTTGCGCCCCAGGGTGTGAGCCCTCAGCCCCCCAGCAAACAGAACACACTCTGAGCAGCGTTCGCAGATCTGCACTGGGAGGCGGGGAGGGACGTCAGGGCACCAGGTGCGGCTCACGGAGAAAAGGGGATGACACCGAGGCCAGGCTCCTTGAGGACTGGACGGGCCAGCCTCCCAGCGGGAGCCCCTGCCGGACCTCTCCGTCCCCCGCTGTTGCAGCTGAAGGGCTTGTCCCGTCAGAAGTGCCCTGAAGAAGTTCAGCGGATGCTGCACGTCCTCGGTCTGGAGGACAAGCAGGACTCCCTGAGCCGGTTCCTGAGTGGGGGCATGAAGCGCAAGCTCTCCATCGGCATCGCCCTCATAGCGGGCTCCAAGGTAGGCGGGCGGGAGGCCCCGGGGCAGGGCCCCGTGCACGCAGATGGCCGCTCGGGACGGCCGCACGGAGGCATCGGGCTCCAGGCCCCACGCGGCACGGGCTGGCTGTGGCCCCCGGATACCTGCAGAGCAGCCTGGCCAGGGCGGGACGGCCACGTCTTCACCAACTGGAGCCTCACGGGGCCTCCCGCACAGCCAGCCCGGGCCTGCCACGCGGCTCTGCCACCACCCCCAGCGGCCACTGCTCTGCCTGCAGGTGCTGATGCTGGACGAGCCCACCTCGGGCATGGACGCCATCTCCAGGAGGGCCATCTGGGACCTCCTGCAGCAGCACAAGAGTGACCGCACCGTGCTGCTGACCACGCACTTCATGGACGAGGCTGACCTGCTGGGGGACCGCGTGGCCATCATGGCCAAGGGGGAGCTGCAGTGCTGCGGGTCCTCACTGTTCCTCAAGCAGAAGTATGGTGAGCGGTGGGGGCAGGACTGCCTCCCTTCCCCACGGGGCCCTGTCCCTGGCCTGGAGGGTCCCTGGGGCTAGGAGAGGGGCCGTGATAGGAGCAGGGAGCAAAGGAGCAGACAGTCTCGAGTTGGTTAGGACGGCGTCCAGCTGTGACCAGGGAAGAGAAGAGCAGCCAGCACCAGCTGAGGCCACAGAGACCAGCGGTGCCCTTGGAGAGACCACGCTCGGTAGTGTAGAGGCTCTCGAGCCGGTGGCCCGTGGCACGGTCCAGGACCGGTGGTGGTGCATGGTTTGCCACGTGAGCGTGGCTTCCTTTCTCGAGGGCAGCTTGTGGTCTGACACAGTAGCGTGGCGGGTCCACCCAGGTCCTGCCCACAAGGGAAGCAAAGACAGAAGCCAAGCTCCCCTCCTCAGATGCCCTGGGAGGTGCATGCCTCATTCCCGCAGCTTCCCCCTCAGGCTGGAGGGAGGCTGGAGAGGGCGGCCGGCATCCCCAGGGCTCCCTTGTGGAGAAGGCAGGGAGCATGCATCTCGGGGACAGTTCCTGCTGCAGCCTCTGAGACTTGGAGTCTGGAGTCCAGAGTCCTGCTTGGGCCTCGTGTCCTTACCATGCAGCAGACCCCCCTCCCCCCACCAAGTCTTCCGGCATCTCTGCCCAGCAGAGGACGGGGAGGCCAGGCCCGCAGGATGGCGGGCACCCAGGGGCTCCGAGGTGCATTCCCGCGGCTCTCCGGCCCCTTCCCCACGAGCCTGCCCTCATCAGGAGCCCGGGGCCAGGGGAGACAGCCTCTGCGGGAGATGGCATCACATGGGGGTCCTTGCTGTTCAGGTGCAGGCTACCACATGACGCTGGTGAAGGAGCCTCACTGCGACCCCGACGCCATCTCCCGGCTGGTGCAGCATCATGTTCCCAGTGCCACGCTGGAGAGCAGAGCTGGCTCAGAGCTGTCCTTCATTCTCCCCAAGGAGAGCACGCACAGGTGCGCATCCCGGGGCTGCACAGGCGCACGCCAGAGGAGGGGGCTCCATGGTCCTCAGGGGCTCCAGGATTAGAGGACCCACCTTGTCCCTGTTGGGCTCAGCCAGCGGGCCTGTGACAGCACAGGGTGAACTAGCTTGCTGGGCCTGGCAGGCAGGCCTCCCAGGGTTGCAGAGCCGGCAGACCTTCCCGTACCTGGAGGGAAAGTGTCTGCGGCCCCCAGCTGGGTCAGGCCTGCACGGCAGCTGCTCCGAGTTCCTGTGGGATCCTGCATTTCTGTCTCTTCCTGGTGTCGAGCTTGGAGTCCTGCAGACCCCTGGTGTGGGGGGTAACAACCAAACTCTCGATTCACATTCAGAAACTGCGGGTGTAAATCTGGAAAGTACATTTAATCTTTCAAAGAGCCCAATTGACTGGTGTGGTTTTAATAAATTCGTAGGGTTCCCCGACCCGGTCACGCCGTGACTTCATCAACATCTGCACTGTGACCACGCGCTCATGGTTTTCTTCCCAAAATATGCTAGTGAACCTTCTAGAAAACTCTTTGTCTGAACCTCCAGTGACCCCCCCCGCCTTTAGAATAGAGTCCCAATAGCAGGGTAAATGGTACCAAGTTCCCTCCTAGAAAGGAAGTTTGACTTCCCCGTCAGCAGGATGGCAGAGACACCATTTTACCCCATGGCTGCCAGCCTCCAGTAAGGTTTTCTTTTTTTTTTTTTTTTTTAAAGATTTTATTTATTTATCTGACAGAGAGACAGCGAGAGAGGGAACACAAGCAGGGGGAGTGGGAGAGGGAGAAGCAGGCTTCCCGCGGAGCAGGGAGCCCGATGCGGGGCCCGATCCCATGACCCTGGGATCATGACCCGAGCCGAAGGCAGACGCCCAACGACTGAGCCACCCAGGCGCCCCTCCAGTAAGGTTTTCTTAAACATCTGTGTATCCAGTGGGTGAAGTGGCATTTTGTGTTTTTCCGTTCCTGCCAGCAGGAGGTGGAGCCTGGCCGCTATGCGTGCTCTGGACAGTGTGGGTTCCTATCTCTTGCTCGTTTGTCCATCAGAGCGTTTTATATCTTTATTATCAGCCATTTTTTGCTGTGGTTTTTTTTCCAGTTGGTCATTGACTAATTTTGTGGGATTTGTTTCCCACGCGGATACTTTACGTGTAATGGGTCATACCGTTTACTTTGGGATTTTTTCCTATGAAGCGCTACCCCAGAGTCAGATGAATATTCACCAGTTTCTTTAGGTTTGTTCTGTGATTTCATGTGGACGAATACTACGGAATGCCCCACAGGCCCAATACTCAGGGCAGAAGGTCCCATCGGGACCGAAAAGGGGGAAACCAAGCCTGACCTCAGGGTTTCTTTGCAGTGGCTTTTCAAGGACGGAGGTCCCTTTGCTCCCCCAGACTGCCCGGAGAAACAGGCTGCCTCAAAAGTCACTGAGACGCGGCTCTTCACTCGGGGTCTTGTTTCCAGGTTCGAAAGTCTGTTCGCTAAGCTGGAGAAGCAGCAGAAGGAGCTGGGGATCGCCAGCTTCGGGGCCTCGGTCACCACCATGGAGGAGGTCTTCCTCCGGTCAGTAGATGCGCATTTCCAACAGTCTGGGCGCACGTGCCTGTTTAACGTGAGACAGTGAGGCAGCCCCTCACCCCACACCCCCCAAGGGTAGCCGGACAGCCGGCTGCAGGCAGGGCCCCACGAGCCCCACGGCGTTCACCAGGCAGAGGGCCGCTGAGCTCAGGTCTCCGGAAACTTCTGCCCCTCCCTCATGGGGAGTGTGCAGGCGTCCCAGGGGCCCCTTCCCAGAGCAGGTGTCTGTCCGTGATGAAGGTGGGGGCTGGACAGGCAGACCCCCAGAACTGCAGGCACACGGCGGGGCAGGGACGACAAACGTGTTTACCAGACTTGTCTTGAGTGCTTGTTTGGCAGACAGGGTGCTAAGAACTAGAAGTACAAAACTGGTGCGAGGTAAAGGTCTGTGCTTGAGGATCCCGGGTCCTAGGGGAGGCAACAGAGTGGCCGGCCTCCCTGCCTACACTCCCCACACACGCCCAGCCCATCTCCCAGGGAGGTCCTCATGGGCAGGGCCTTGTCTGGATGTCTCTGCTGGACTCCACTTGGCTGCGGTGCCTGGAGTCTGGGGCATCTATGGATGAGTGAGTGAGGAAATGAACCGCCTACCAGCCGGCAAAGCCAATGGTGTGCTCTTCCTCCCAGTGGGATGGCGTCCGCGAGGAGCCGAGCGCTGACCAGCCTCTCGTGTCTCGGCGCAGGGTCGGCAAGCTGGTGGACACAAGCATGGACATCCAAGCCATCCAGCTCCCTGCCCTGCAATACCAGCATGAGAGGCGGGCGAGCGACTGGGCCGTGGACAGCCACCTGTGTGGGGCCATGGACCCGACCAATGGCGTGGGCTCCCTGATCGAGGACGAGTGCACCACTGCCAAGCTCAACACTGGGGTGAGCGCAGAGGGCTGGGGGGCCCCTGAACCCCACCTGTTGGCATCCACGGGGGCCGACGAGGGCTTGCGGAGGCTCAGCTCCCTGGGAAGAAAGTAGATTGCAGGTCATGCAGTCATGGCAGAGAGAAGGAAAACCCGGAGCATTTTTTTTTTTAAAGATTTTATTTATTTATTCATAAGAGACAGAGAGAGAGAGGGAGAGGGAGAAGCAGGCTCCCCGCTGAGCAGGGAGCCCGATGCGGGGCTCGATCCCAGAACCCTAGGATCATGACCTGAGCTGAAGGCAGACGCTTAACCATCTGAGCCACCCAGGTGCCCAGCCCAGAGCATTTTAATCAGCAACTGTCATTTCCTCTTGTTGTCACTGGGCTGCTCATGAATGAGCGAACATTGCACATGATGCTCACGGTGCTCCGTGTACCGAGGGCTAGCCGTAGGCCTCGTGCTCGCTCAGTGAGGTAGAGGGCAGCATAGGCCCCATTTTGCAGACAGAACACGGGGGGCCTGGGCCCAGGGGCACAGCCGGCGTGTGGCCGAGCAGGCCTCTGACCCTCTGACCCCGGCACCCGCTCTGGGAGGACAGCAAAGGGCAGCCCCTCTGCTCCCATGTGAGCGCAGGCCGGGTCCTCCCACCAGGATCAGGGGAAGGGCAGAGGCTTGGCTCCCCTGGGGGACCGCAGCTGGTCCCCCAGCTCCCGGCGCCCGCCTGGCCTCCACGGCAGTGAGACCACCGCCCCCAAGGCCACGTCATGTTACTGAAGGAGTTTTGCGAGCAGCCCTAGGGCCTTGGGGCGCATGTCAGCCTGAGGCCCCAGGCTTGCATTTGGACCGGCCGCTGCTGCTTCTGGGTGGGGGTCCCATGCTGGCCTGCGTGGCAGCCGTGGCAGCCGTGGCAGCTCATCCCCTCTGCCACAGCTCGCCCTCCACTGCCAGCAGTTCTGGGCCATGTTCCTGAAGAAGGCCACGTACAGCTTGCGCGAGTGGAAGATGGTGGTGGCCCAGGTCCTGGTCCCGTTGACGTGCGTCACCCTGGCCCTCCTGGCCATCAACTACTCCTCAGAGACCTTCGACGACCCCAGGCTGGAGCTGACCCTGGGCGCGTACGGCCGAACCGTTGTGCCCTTCGCCGTTCCGGGGGCCTCCCGGCTGGACCAGCTGCTGGCAGAGCGTCTGAAAGACATGCTGCAGGCTGAGGGCCAGGAGCCGCGGGAGGTGCTGGGTAAGGGGCGGCCGCGGGGCTCGGGTCGAGTCGTCTGAGCCCGGCTGCTCAGCCCAGACGCCATGGGCATCCGGGCCGGTTGGTTCCTTGCGGTCCCGTGCACCGTGGCATGTTCAGAAGCAGCCCCCTTCCCTGGTTCCGTCATGACATCCAAAAACGCCTCCAGACGTTGCCACTGGGGGAGAAGGCCATCGCCCGAGTCAGAGGGAGACATGGGGCAGCGTCTAGGGCTAAGGTTTGCCCAGGCAGCCGTGGACCAAGGTTGTCTGTTTTGGGGCCGTTGTAGGTGAAATGCGAAACCTCCGTGGCCTCTGTTTGCCGGGCTGGTCACAACGTGCACTGAGGGGACTCAGCGCTTTCTTCCATCACATCAAACCCAAACCATCCACATCCCTGGTGGTGGCAGCCGGACACTGCCCTGGGCTGAGAGCAGACCTCGCGCTCGGGTTAAAAGGGTCATGTGGGAAGGCTGGCTCGGTTCACTGCTCCCCTCCCACATCCCGGCCGGTACACTGGGTTGCCAGCCGATCTTGGCAGGAATCAGGTTCTTGTTTAGGAAAAGGCTGAATGCCCCTGGCACAGGCCAGCCCTGCAGTGGGCACTGCTGCTGGGCAGGAACGTGAGCAGCCCTGCCCACCACCGTCACTGCGTTAGCCCCGCTGAGACCGCAGTGGGCGCTCTTGTCATCTCCGTGCCCCCCCAGCCTTGTTCGCTGGCTGCCACCCAGCCTGGCCCCAGGAATTTGGGGCTCTCATGGCACACGGTGGCTCTGGGGCATTCGGGACATAGCCTCAGGTGCCCCTGGCCTGAGTCCTCCTGGACGGCCGAGATGTCCATTCCCTTGTCAAGCATGCGAGCCCGTGGTTTTGACTACCTCGCTGTGTGGTCTTTTCACACTGTATTTAAGGACATCTGATTCTTTTCCTTGTGTAATGACAGCTGTGGCAGGCTAGGGCGGATGGAGCCTTTGTAACTATTGAAGTTAGGGCTCATAGACATGTCCCTGTCCCCTCACTGACCCTGGGTCCCATAGGGCAGGTGTCCTTGTTGGACCCATTTACAGCTGAGCGAGAGGCAGGGCCAGGGCAGCGAGGGTGTAAGCGGGTGCGTGTGATGCTGGACCATGCAGCCAGCAGGGAGCATAGGGCAGACCCCGGCACCCCTGGTCAGACCCCCTTCTCTCCAGGCGTCTGCCAGGGAGCCAAGTGAGAGCCAGCAGGACTGTCCAGAACCCGAATGCCCGGTCCAAGACCTGAAGTGGGAGTTGGCTGGGGTTCTTCCGGGTGACGAGGGAATGCTCCTCCTCCCTGCACCCCCCTCCCCCAGGCCACTCTTTTTTTTAAAGATTTTATTCATTTATTTGAGAGAGAGAGCACACGCACGCACAGAAGGAGAGGTAGAGAGAGAAGCAGACTCCCCGCCGAGCAGGGAGCCCGATGTGGGGCTCAATCTGGGGACCCCGGGATCATGATCTGAGCCGAAGGCAGACGCTTAAGTGACTGAGCCACCCAGGCGTCCCAGGCCATTCTTTTGAAAAACCATCTTATTTTTTTCTGAAAAGGTACTTATTCATTCCATAGAAACTGGAACACCAGAAAAACAGGCAGAGGTCCTGTCTAATTGCCCCCCCAACGAGGGCAGCCCTTCCCTGTCCCCTGGCCGCCCCTCCCTGCATCTGCTGGCCCGCCCAGCGCCCATCAGCTGAGACAGCTCTGCCTTCTTCTGAGCAGCCTCCTCCCTGCCATGCCGGCCCTGGTCCACGGCTGCTCCTTTAGTGTCCCCCCTCCAGGGGGCATTTGTGGGGCACAAGGAGGAGCTTACTCCGCCCACATGGCCTCCTGTGGCTACGGTGTGCCTGCTCACCGGAGTCCTGCAGCCTCAGGCCCTGCTGCTCCCATGACGTGGCTCCTCAGCCCGTGTCCTTCCTGCAGTTCCTCCAGAGCCTCAGGCACGCACCCCAGGGGGCTGTCCTCCGCCACTCACCCTGCCATTGTCCCCCCCAGGTGATCTGGAGGAGTTCCTGATTTTCAGGGCCTCGGTGGAGGGAGGCGGCTTTAACGAGCGGTGCTTGGTGGCGGTGTCCTTCAGAGACGTCGGCGAGCGGACGGTGGTCACTGCCCTGTTCAACAACCAGGCGTACCACTCCCCAGCTACTGCACTGGCCGTCGTGGACAACCTTCTGTTCAAGCAGCTGTGTGGCCCCCGGGCCTCCATCATGGTCTCCAACTACCCCCAGCCCCGGAGCACCCTGCAGGCCGCCAAGGACCAGTTCAACGAGTATGTGTGCCGCCCCCGCCCCCTGCCCCTCTGCCAGAGCCCCACCCCCAACCATCAGGACCAACCCCCCGGGGCAGTGCCAGGGACCACCAATGGCATTGTGTCTGCCCTCAGGAAGCTTCTGGGTTCTGGCCAGGGAACCCCTGCCCTACATCTTCCTCAGCCTTTCATACTCTTTCTTTGGGTAGCTGGTGAGACCCTGTCCTCCAACCACTGAGGTCTCCGAGGGGGGACTCCTGAGGATTTGGAGGGCGGCCGGGCCCTCTTCCCAAGTCTGTACCCAGCTCTTGCTGACTGCTGTCCCCAGGGGTCTCAGCACACGACCAGGATGCAGAACACAGCGAGGTCAGGGGTCGCTGCCCAAGGCAGCTGCGAGTCAGGAAGCCCCATGGACATCTCTGTTCTCAGGCCTCGTCCTGCCCTGATGCATGGGGGACTCTCCCCCACACTGGTTACAGAGCCCCCCAAACCCTGGGACCATCCAGAGAAAGCCCGAGAAAATCAGTTAATTTCAGAACCATCACCCCATGTAGGGCAATTAATGGGGGTGGCAGTTTCATCTTCACGCCCTGCCCCATACTGGACTGCACTCTGGGCCCTACGCAGACCCTACGCGGTCTCCCCCTCCACGACCTCCACGACCCGAAAGCAGAGACACGGTGGCCGTTGTCTGCCCCTCCAGGAGCAGACGAGCACACTGCAGGGTTGGAACCACACCACTCTGGGGCCTCCACTTTGGGCCCTGGGGAGACAGGCCTGCGGGACCTTCAGACCCGGGCGGGGCAGGGGCTGAGCCAGAACAAGGGGCAGCTCCCTCCCGGTGGGTTCAGTGTGGTGGACGGGGCGGTGGGACTCTGTTTTGTGTTTGCAGCGTGAGCAGATAGAACTATGCACCCGTGTGTAACGTACGGTCAAATGGTCGTTAGCGTGTTCGGAGCGTGGGGCCCTCGGCATGCTTGCAGTCACTGACGCACGAGGTCACATTAGTTCCAAATGTGTGGTGAACCCTCACCACCTGGATCTGGTCACATCCCTGGTCACACGAGTTCCAGAGTTTTTTCTCCTGTGATGAGCAGTTTTAAGGTTGTCTCTCTGAGCGACTTTTCGACACGCGATCCAGGATCGCTAACCTTCACGGTAGTCCCCATGTTGTACGCGACAGCCCCAGGACACGTTTATCTTATGACGGGAAAGCCGTACATGTTGACCCCTCACCTGCTGTGCCCACCCCCTACCCCCCACCTCTGGCAACCACCAATCTGTTCTCTGGGTCTACGACTTCCATTTGGATTTGGGTTTTTTCAGATTCCATACGTAAGGGAAATCATAGGGTATTTGTCTTTCTTTGTGTGATGTACTTAATTTAGCTCACTGTCCTCAAGAACCATCCACATTGTCACAAATAGCAGGATGTCTTTCTTTGTTGTGGCTGGAAAGTATTCCCTTGTGATTAGACCCTGGTTTCTTGATCCTGTCGACGGACACTTGGTTGTTCCTCTCTTGGCCGTTGTAAGCAATGCTGCCACGAACATGTGGGTTCGAGTTTTCGAGTTTCGAGTTTCCGTTTTCCGAGAAAGTGTGATTTCTGGAGCATATGGTGGCTCTGGGTTTAACTTTCTGCGGGCCCTCCGCGCTGTTCTCCCGAGCAGCGGCCACCCCCGTGTGCATTCCCACCGACAGCGCACGAGGGCTGCCCTCTCTCCGCGTCCTTGCCCGCACATACCAGACGTGAGATCTCTGTGAGGTGGTCTCTCCCTGCGGCTTTGATTGGCATTTCCCTGGTGCTTCGTGGTGCCCAGCACGTTCTCGTGTGCCTCTTGGACCACAGCGTGATTTTACTGAGCACGCCGTCACGCCCGCGGGAGCCCCAGGACACAGCAGTCACTGCCGATCCTCCTTCCCCTTCTCCAAGCGGCCTCCGCGCTGTCCCATCTGGGGACGTACCTGCTCAGGACATCTCCTACTGATGGAATTGTATAGTGAGAGGCCTTTTGTGACTGGCTTCTTTCACTTCCAAGGCCCAGCCATGTTGTAGTGTGTATCCATAATTCTCTGTTTCCAGCCAAGTAGCATCCAGGTGTCGAAATGCCATTTTTGAGACAGATGGGAAGTCTTTAAGCAGCAGAGTAACGCCCCCCGTGCTGGTTTCTGACAACCGATTGCAGAATGTGGGATGCGCCCAATGCGGGAGATGAGCCGCTGGGGGGGGGCGGGCCTGGCCAGGGGGGAGCCAGCCACAGGGGGGTTCTCAGGAGATGTGGAAAGGCGGATCAGTGGTGGCCCGTCACCTGCATGTCTGTGGGGAGTGGGGGGCTGGGAGAGTGGTGCTGCCATCACTGGGGACCGGAAGCCCAGAGGAGGAGTTCTGGGGTGGATGAGATTTTCCCTGCTCTGAGACCCGCCCCCCCCTCAACACACACACACAGCTCTGGCATTCTCTCTTAACCCCCGTTAGCGGCTGGGCTGCTCCACTGCATGCTTTGGATGGTGACCAGTGACTCAATGAATGTCCCCTGCTGCCTGGTCCCCGCTCAGTCCCTGACCTGCCCTGTCCCCCCAACACCCCGCAGGGGCCGTAAGGGATTCAACATCGCTCTCAACTTGCTGTTCGCCATGGCGTTCCTGGCCAGCACCTTCTCCATCCTGGCAGTCAGCGAGAGGGCCGTCCAGGCCAAGCATGTCCAGTTTGTGAGCGGGGTCCACGTGGCTATTTTTTGGCTCTCCGCACTGCTGTGGGACCTCATGTCCTTCCTCGTCCCCAGTCTGCTGCTGCTGGTGAGGGCTGCGAGGTGCTGGGACACCCCCCCCCGCACGTCACAGGGGGCTTGCTCTGGGGCCCCTGCACTGACTGCAGCCAGCCTGGGGTGCATGCCGGCTGCTCAGCCCCATCTGGGAGGGTGGCCGGGAACACCCCTCATCTGTGTCTGTACCCCCAGCCTCCGCCCCATGGTGGCGGGCAGGGCCCCAGAGCGGCGTGCCCCATGATGGCTCCAAGTACAGAGGGGCGTGGGGCAGGTTATCAGGGGGAGTCCCAGGGCTGAAAGCCACCGGGGAGACAGGGCCCCCGAGCCACCTGCCTCTGTGCCGCCGCAGGTGGTGTTCAAAGCCTTTGACGTGCACGCCTTCACACGCGACGGCCACATGGCAGATGCCCTGTTGCTGCTCATGCTCTATGGCTGGGCCATCATCCCCCTCATGTACCTGATGAACTTCTTCTTCTCGGGAGCAGCCACCGCTTACACGAGGCTGACCATATTCAACATCCTGTCGGGCATAGCCACCTTCCTCATGGTCACCATCATGCGCATCCCAGGTGGGGGCCTGCGGACCCCCCGCCCCTCACCCCTCACGCCGGGTGCCCGCGGAGCCACTCTGCCCCGAACCTGGGCGGCACCAGCGGGCACTGGGCCAGGCCCCTCTGCCAAATGTGGCCCTGCTGGGCCCGCGGCACTTCCGCCTCAAGGTTTCAGCCGGGAGGGGGCGGGGGGCGCTGTCCCACAGGTGCCGTCCTGGGAGGGCCTGGCACCCCACATGGGGGTAACACCCGGCTGGGCGCCTGGCCCCCACACACCGCACTCACGTGTCCCCCAGCGTCCACTGGTCTGTGCCCCTCCCCACAGCGGTCAAGTTAGAAGAGCTTTCCAGAACCCTGGACCACGTGTTCCTGGTGCTGCCCAACCATTGTCTGGGGATGGCGGTCAGCAGCTTCCACGAGAACTTTGAGATGCGGAGGTACTGCACCTCCTCGGAGGTCGCGGCCCACTACTGCAGGAAGTACAGTGAGTGTCCCCATGGCCGCCCCTCACCACCCCGCACCCCGCGGCGGGGCTCTCCTCGGGGGGACCTTTGTTCTGCTCTGTGAGGGGGCGCCCCCTCACCCCACGCCGCCCCCAGGCTGACCCCTGGGTCCCTCTGCCAACCCAGGCATCTCTGTATCTCCAGCCTCCCTCATCTTTCTCCTGCAAGGACGTCTGTGGTTGGATTCAGGGCCCATCCCAAATGCGGGATCTCACCTCGAGACCCTTAGCTTTTTACATCTGCAAAGATCCTTTTTTAAGTGGAGTTGCTCATGGGTTCTGGGGGTTAGGACGTGTCGTGTTGTTCTGGGGGCCACCTTTCAGCCCACCACATGCCCTATCAGTGCCTGGACCAGTCTTCAGCTGTGGTCATCTGTCACCTCTGTGACCATGGGGGTGAGGTGGGGGGGTCACACCTTCACGTCTCAGTGCAGCCCCGCCCCTCCCCCTGAGCAGGGAAGGAGCATGGGAGTGAGCAAGTGAGGGCATGACTCGGTCACTTGTCACAGGCACCCCTTGCAAAGTAAAACTGCTCACAGATGTCGGCAGTTCTTGGGGCTTCTGTGAGGCAGTGACAAGCACAGGGTGCAGCCTCGGAAGATGAGTGGACCCTGTGCCCTCACAGCCTCCGTTGGAGGCTGGTGTGCAGGCACCTGTGGGCCTAGAGAGGGGCTCGGGCTGGGACGCGGGGTGAGAGGGCACGTGGGGCGGGGGGGGCGCACAGGGCGGGGGCACGTGGGACGGCGCGGGGCAGGAGGGCATGGTGCTCACTCCCTTGCCCACACAGACATCCAGTACCAGCAGAACTTCTATGCGTGGAGCGCCCCGGGGGTCGGCAGGTTCGTGACCTCCATGGCAGCTTCTGGATTTGCCTACCTCAGCCTGCTCTTCCTCATCGAGACCGACACACTGTGGAGGCTGAAGACCTGCCTCTGTGCCTTCTGGAGGAGGCGGGCGCTGGTGAGTGACCCCCGGCACTCCCCACACCTCCACCTCCCTCTGGCCTGGGCAGGTGCACGCACGGGAGGGCCGCCGTGCTCACCAGCCCCCGGGCTCTCCAGTCCCGGACCCTGGGGTCCCCACAGCCTCCGTCTTGGCAGAGGCTGTCGGACCGGCAGCCCTCGTGTTTGTCACCTACCTCCCGTCCCACAAACGCAGCCTGGGCGGAAACTGCACTGGACGGACACAGGAACCCAGGGCGGGGGGCCTGCTCTGACCTGTGAAGACCGCTCTGACAAGGAGCTTCTGTCCACATAGTATAGCCCCCCACACCCTCACCCGAGGCTCTTGGCTTTCTCGGTGTGTGCTGCACCATCCTTGCTCCTTGGCTGTCTGCGTCTCCTCGGTGCTCATGTCAGCCCTTAAGTCCACCAGCTGTCCTTGTGAAAGCCCTGAGTCAGCACACCAGCGGTCTTAGAGACCCCCGCCCTTTGTCCCATGGAAGAGGACACCCTGAGCTGGAGCTCACTCATGTGGTCTTTTTCCGGAACAATTAGACGGAAGCGTACGCTCGGACGTCAGCACCTCCTGAGGACCAGGACGTGGTGGATGAAAGGAACCGGGTCCTGGCCCCCAGCATGGACTCCCTGCTGGACACACCTCTGGTTATCAAGGAGCTTTCCAAGGTAAGGTGGGCCTCCCCACACGGGCCCCGGGCACCCCCCTTGGCTGCCTGCAGGCCCCAAAGCCCGGTGTCCCGCAGGTGTACGAGCAGACGACGCCCCTACTTGCCGTGGACAAGATCTCCCTTGCAGTCCATAAAGGGGAGTGTTTCGGCTTGCTGGGTTTCAACGGAGCCGGGAAAACCACAACTTTCAAAATGCTGACGGGGGAGGAGACCATCACATCTGGGGATGCCTTTGTCGGGGGCTACAGCATCAGCTCTGAAATCGGGAAGGTGGGTGCAGCCAGAGAGGCGGGAAGAGGGGGCCCCGTGGAGGCAGGGATGGGGCTCGTTTCTGGCTCACGGTGCGTGGACAGGAGGACGAGGTAGTGACTGGGGCCAGAGCAAAGCAATGGGGAGGACAGAGAGAACAGGAAGATAAGAGCCCCCTAGGCCCGAAGGGCCCAGGCCACAGCCTCTCTCTGAGAAGCCGCTTCTCTGGCCCCGGGGCCATGGTGCTCACAGCACTGTGCAGTCCATGTGCACAGATTGATCATAACGGTGTCCTGAGCTGCTCAGACCAGGCATTCCATCAAGAACCACAGCTGGGTAAAATGTCAGTGACAAAGCCCATTGTTAAGAGCATCACAGAGCCTGATGCACAGTGAGGAGCCCCAGCCAAAATTCTTGAGCCCCTAGAGGCATGGTAGGTTCCACCTCTGCAGAGAGCACACGGTGCTCCTGGCCCCCCGGGCACAGGTTTCAGGGCCTCATTGAGTGAAGGGGAGAAACCGAGGCCCGGGGCCCCCGTGGTAGGGTGTGACATGAGACTTTCTCCACGTGGGGCCAGGTAAGGATGAACCAGGCTGCCCTCCCACTCTCTGCACCCCTGGGGATTGGGTTGGGGGGTCCTCTGTGTGCCGAGGGGAGAGGCAGAGCGTGGGCCAGGGCCTTGGGGCAACCGCGCGTCCCATCTGGCAGTGGGGGCTTCTAGTCCGCCATGCCTGCAGAGTGCCGCCCACATTGTCTGGAGGACGGCCTTCCTCTGAGGCCCCCAAGAAGCCCCAGACAGTGTTCCAGGGCCTGTGGGCAGTTCACACACACTGAGAAACAAAGGAAGCATAGCCCCGTGTCAAGAACCCGCGGGAGAAAAAAGCCCAGCACTTTAGATTTGCCACCGCCAGACCTGGATTCTAAAACACCTGTGTTTACCGTGTTTAGAGAAACAAACAAGATTAGACACACAGGCAGGAAAAAGAAAACCATAAACACGTCTTAGAAGCTGGAGAGGGAGGGGACTCATCCATTTGTCCGGTCTGAGCTCCAGGGGGTGGGAGAGCACGGGGACCGGTACTGAGTGACGGGGCAGCGGCAGAGAGAGGGTGTTCCCGGGCGGCTGAAGCCTAGGAGCCCCCAGGAGGGTAAAGAGAGAGAAAACCCCGTCTGGAATCCACAGACCAGCCCCAGGCTTGCCGGCCCCTCGCCTGCTGCTGCAGTAGCTGGGGAGACGGTGCGGCTGCACGGGGTCCAAGCGCCATCCGCCCCAGAGGCGCCGCCCGCAAACCCCTCCTTGATCAGCGGGAGCAGAGGGGAAGGGCTTACATGCCCCGCGCCTGCTTAACGTCTCATGGGTGCAGGAGCGGTGACACAGACATCACAGTGATGGTGGCCTCGTGCTCCTGCCCACCCCGCATGCCGTGGCCGCATTGGCTCCTGCAGTCTCTGGCGCCTAGGGGTGGGGTGGGATGTGCGCCCGGGCGTCCGCGAGCTGGCCAGGGCCCTCCGGTGTCCCTGACAAAGTGCAGCGTGGGGGCCGCCGGGGCTTGTCCACCGCCGGGCCGCCCCACACAGATCCGCTGGGAGAAACCTGGAGGAGCCCCCCTCTGACCCGCTGCATCCCCTGCACCCCACCTCCAGGTGCGGCAGCGGATCGGCTACTGCCCCCAGTTTGACGCTCTGCTGGACCACATGACGGGCTGGGAGACGCTGGTCATGTACGCCCGGCTTCGGGGCATCCCCGAACGCCACATCGGTGCCTGCGTGGAGAACACGCTCCGGGGCCTGCTTCTGGAGCCACACGCCAACAAGCTGGTCAGGACGTACAGGTGCGGCTGCACTCCGGCCCCCTAACCACCCCGTGTTGCAGTGACTGCCGCGCCCCTGGGGTGGAGTCTGAGTCTCCCTTACTGTAAAGCTGGGGGCAGCCGAACGGGTCCAGGGCCAGAGCTCCCACCCGTCTTTCCAGGATGGGATGGGGATCTGGCGGCATGACCCAGGCAGCGTGGGGCGGGGGGCAGGGCTGCCCTGCCGGTTCCTGCCACCGGGAGGCACGGCCAGGCCAGGGGGAGGTCAGGCCTGTCAGGCCCTGGTCAGCAGAAACCAACGGTGTTACCGTCCTCTGTGTGGGTGTGGACTGACCCCCCAGCACAGCTTTCCTTGGGGCCCCCAAAACCACAAGGTGGGCTTTCCAGGCACGATCCCCTCATTCCTGTTTACCCGGGGTGCTCTGTGATCACTGGGCCCAGTCTGATGCTAGGACACAGGGAGCCTGTGCTAATTATGAGCCTTGCCCCCTACACTCCCCCTTGCTCCCAGCGGTGGCAACAAGCGGAAGCTGAGCACAGGCATCGCCCTGCTTGGAGAGCCTTCGGTCATCTTCCTGGACGAGCCATCCACTGGCATGGACCCCGTGGCCCGGCGCCTGCTCTGGGACACTGTGGCACGGGCCCGAGAGTCGGGCAAGGCCATCGTCATCACCTCCCACAGGTAGAGCCGGGGTCTCGGGGGGTCAGTGGAAGAGCCGGGACGAGGGCTGGCCGGGTGGGGCCGGGTGGACAGAAGACCTGTCAGCAGCTGGTTCAGAGTCTGTGAGGAAAGTCGCCAGCTAGCCATGTGGGCCACCCTCTGAACATGGGAATCAGGAACAGTGTGATCTGGCCGTCGACATGGCCCCTCTGCCTGAGCCTTTGACACAGAAGGCAGGCGTTGGAATCCCCCGGCCCCTTGTCAGGCCTCTGCCCCTCTCCCCAGCATGGAGGAATGCGAGGCTTTGTGCACCCGGCTGGCCATCATGGTGCAGGGTCAGTTCAAGTGCCTGGGCAGCCCACAGCACCTCAAGAGCAAGTTTGGCAGCGGCTACTCCCTGCGGGCCAAGGTCCGGTGTGACGGGCAGCAGGAGGCACTGGAGGAGTTCAAGGCGTTTGTGAACCTGACCTTCCCAGGTGAGGGCCACTGCGCAGAGGGCATCTGCATCCGAGTCCCCCGTCCCTGACCCCTGGGAGGAGGGCCGTGACTGCATGGTCCCAGGCCCTCCAGCCTGGCCCTCACGGGCACACGGTGTCTTCTTCATGCAGGCAGCGTCCTTGAAGATGAGCACCAAGGGATGGTCCACTACCACCTGCCCGGGGATGACCTCAGCTGGGCCAAGGTGAGTGTGGGCCCTACCAGCCTAGCTGGGGCTGGGGAAGGCCCTCGCAGCCATCACTCCTTCTGTGGGGCTTCTAGGCTCCTTCCAGAGAGGAGTCTTACAGTTTCTGCTCTAGCACTCATCCTAAAATCTGCCAGGTTCAGAGGCTCATTTGAGTCAGAAAAAAATGGGTGCAAAAAGGAAACTGGCCCAGACAGCGTGCCCAAGTTTGCACTCCGAGCTGGGAAGATTCGGGGGAAGCCTGGCCCCCAGGGCCTGCTCGTCCTGCACAGCCCCCCTCCTCCTCCGGGGAGCACGGGGCTCCAGTTGGGGCAGGGTAGGACCTCTGGGAGCCTTACCCCCCCACCCCCTGGGGCCAGAGGACTCCCAGACCAGCCAAGGTGCCCCCACCCCTGGGCTTGTTAACAGCCGCTTTTCTGCTCCCACAAGGTGTTTGGTGTTCTGGAGAAGGCCAAGGAGAAGTATGCCGTGGACGACTACTCCGTGAGCCAGATCTCACTGGAGCAGGTCTTCCTGAGCTTCGCCCACCTGCAGCCACCTGCCGAGGACGAGGGGCCATGAGGAGCCAGCAGGCGTGGGGCAAGTGGCCGCACAGGCAGGCGTCCTCCCCCTCCGAGTTCATCTTATCCTGCACCTTTATTTCCAATCACCGTTTTCTATAATGGACGCGAGAATCAAGGCACAGTGGGGACCAGGATGTCGGAGCCCTCACGCTGGGAATCAGCATGCAAACATCTGTGTCCAAGGCAGTGGCCAGAGCCCCTCTCTGGAACTCAGGACCCAGCAAAAGCAGCCCTGCAGCCACGTGCGGGCAAGCCTTGGGGTCTCTGGGCAGAGAGCCCCTCGGGAAGGGGCTGCAGCCGACCTGGGGTTTGCATTTCCTCAAGTGCTCACGAGACGAGCACCAGTAACAGCCCCATATCTGCACACAGCATGGAGCCTCCCAGGGGCGACACGGGGAGCCAGCAGGACAGCGGGCAGCAGGGCTCGCCAGGCTGCCCGGAATGGAGAATGTCGCCTGTGGCCGTCCACAAGGGAGGTGCTGCTTGTGACCACAGTCTGTGGTCTTGGCTTCCGGGGGGCCTGGGAGTCGCTGCTCCACGGAGCATGCTCTTGATGCCAGGCAGGGCTGACCCCACGCCCGGCGCCATCACACCAGCGTCTCCCAGGGTCAGCGGGCTCGGGGAGAGAAGGCAGTCCTTCACGCCCGAGGCTGGCTTCTGGAGAAGCCACAAGCAGGAGGCCAGTTAGGGACCACTGCGGGACCAAGGGACCGTCTACGGAGGATGCACCTGACACGCGGTGACTCTGTCCAGAAAATAAAGTTCGGGAGGGAACATGACCTCGGTCTATATGGAGTGACTTCCAGCGCTCACTGCCAGGAGGTGAAGCAGCCAGGCCGGCAGGTGCCAGAGCGGGTTAAACAGGCCCCCCCGGCAGGTCCGCGGTCCCCACCAGGAGGCACGAGCACAGGGTCAGGGTGGGCTGTGCAGACCCCCGAGGGGCGGGAGGCCTCGGACACCAGGGCCATTCGGGGCTTTAGAAGATTCTTCTTCCGCATCAGCTTCCTTTTTATTTATATGCTCCTATTTCTGACAGTTTTTTTAAGATTTTTAAATTTATTTGAGAGAGTGAGTGTGTGCACAGAGGGAGAGGGAGAAGCAGACTTCCCACCAAGCAGGGAGCCCAATGCGGGGTTCCATCCCAGGACCCTGGGACCATGACCTGAGCCAAAGGCAGACGCTTAACGGCTGAGCCACCCAGGCGCCCCATTTCTTAGTTTCCTAAATTTCCACGATTTGAATCTCTGCTTTCTGTATTCCCTTAGGATTCATAGTTCTAGAGACTTGTTGCATCACTTTAGGACAGTCTCGTGCATTTTTATCAGCCTCCCCAAGCTTAGAACGCTGCAAAGTCTCCAGTAGCTTTCTGTTCCCCTCAGAATTCCTTACACCCTCATCGTTTAGTTCCATGTTATAAAACGTAAGCTCGGGGTGGTTGTGGCCCTGAACGTGCCCCACAGGAAGCAGCTTCTGGGAGGCAGGCCTGCGCCACTTCAGGGTTGCTGGGGTTGGCCGGGCGGTGCGAGGAGGGGCAGAGCCGGTGGCCCCACTGCTCCACGGCCTGAGCTTGCTTTTCAGCCTGTGGGTTAGAGATTTAGAAATCTGGCTTTTTCTTTCCTTTGAGGGCGTGAGGAAAGGCATTCAAGACTGAAGGAACAGCATGTGCGAGGCACACCCACCCTGAATCAGATTGCATTGGTCCAGAGAGAGGTGCTTTGTGTGACGGGACAAGGAGAGAGGGCTGTGGAGACAGGCAGGATGAAAGTGGCCGTGGTCCTGACCAGACCCTTCTTCGGAAGACCACCAGTGGCTGGAGAGAGGGCAGGGCAGGGCTGAGCTGCCGCAATGGGGACCAGGGGGGCCGGTGTGCTGCACAGTCGGTGAGAGCCCATAGGGCCTGGGGTGTCTGTGGGACGAGCGTGGAGCACTGCAGCCAGGCAGGAGGGACCCCAGGAGTCCTGCTGGAAGGGGCATCACCATGTCATGCGCAAGGCTGCTGGACACCCATCACAGGAGCTGAGAATCCTTGAGGAGCCAGGAGTGGGGCCTGAACCCTTTTCTCCCCGAGCCTAGCTGGTATGGTTTGAGCTGAGGCAGCTCCGGGCCCCAAGATGGGGAAGGAACCACGGACAGACACCCCAACAGGAAAGCTGACCTGCTTCATCCCCCATCCCCAGCCCATCCCTCTCCTCCAGGCCTTGGGGCCTTGGGGGCAGGGGGGCGGGGGGGGGAGGGAGGGGAGGAGGGTGACGACACTCCCAAGGGGCCCGACACCCACGCAAAGGCTGAGGAGGTTTGTGGAAAATCCGGCCCCGTCCAATGGTGTGGCTCAACCCAAACACAGTGGCCCGTCCCTCAGCATGACAGTGCCACTCAGAACGTGGCCTGACGAGAGGAGGGGGCAGATCCTGCTGGGCCAGGCCTGGGCCTCAGGCCGAGCCCTTCCACTGCTCCGCCCTGGGGAAGAATGCCAGGCAGCAGGCCACGGTCCGCTGCCATGTGTCCAGGGGACCCCACCCCCGGCCACAGAAACAGCTCCCGGGGAGCGAAGGCTCAGCCTGCTGGCCGCACACACCAGAAGGCAGGGCCCCAGCAGTTTAAAAAAAGACCGGCGTTTATTTCTCTGCGGAGTACAAAGTCCAGAGAAGGCGGGTCTGGGCGTTGTGTCACCATCAAGGCCTCAGGGAGTCAGATTCTATCTGCCTGCTGTGTCCAGATGGAGACGCCCTTTCAAGGTCCTTTCCCGGGGTCAAGGTGTCCCTGAGGCTCCAGATGGAATGGCAGGAAGCAGGAACAGCAGGAGGGCCCAGCCCCTGGACATCATGTGTGTTTGTGTCTGAGTCACTGCCCCGCACACAGGCGGGGCTGCACCAGGCGCAGTGAGCTGGGACACCAGCTGCGTACCCCAGATAAAAGCCAGGCTCCAGGACACAATCCCAGCCTCCACCACGACTGCAGTGTGCAGACTGGCATCCTCGAGGGGGGCCCCACCAGGCATGCTCTTGTTGCCCGCCTGAGCTGCTAAGACCCCACCTCACTTAGGAAGCTCCACAGCCCAGCAGAAGTGACCCACCCCCCTGCCCACCATGGAGTGTCCTGGCCCTTTGGTTGCAACAACACAGAAAGGCAAACTGGAGTTTTTTGCTGGGCAAATGCCAATCCCAGATATTCAGTACAGGACTCCAGGGGGAGCTGAGGTCAGCTGCATCTCAGGGACCCTCAGCCCAGTCTCAGGAAGCAGCTGACGGACTAAGGCTGATGGAGGAGTGAGCCAAGGCCAGCACCTGGAAGGAAGGCTGGAAGGCGCTGGTCCGAGGGTGGCCACAAGCTGCCTGGGGATGACCATACCCCCCAGGTGAAGGACGACCTGGCCCAGCCTGCCTGGCCTGGACCCACGTGAGCCCAATTCTTTGACCACATAGAGACAGCAATGTCCCAACACCCCAGACCTGATACCTGCAGGGCCAGAGCCTGGAGATGAGGGGCGAGGGTTCCAAGAGACCGGGGGCCAGACCAGCAGGCAGGCTGACTGGTCTGGTTGCTCCATCTACAGGATACCGGAGGCCAGCTGCTGTCCAGCTCCCTTCTGGGGACCAGCGGGACACTGATGGTATAAGCCAGCCAGGTCCTTTGAGACTCCCACTCCCATGCAGACTGGTCAGTGAAGGGCGAGCCACCTGTGCTCACCCAGACCCTGTGGCCACACCAAAAGCCCAAGCCTTACCTGTACACAGAGGGACTTTCCTGGGTAGCCAGCCTGGGCTCCACCTGGGTCCAGAGGGGCTAACCCCCACCCGCTCCTGCATCAAGGAGCTGACCCACAGAGGTTCTAAGAGGTCTCCCCAAACACCAAGATCAGGATTAGGCTGCTCACCCCACCCCACAGCTGAGGCCAGCAGGCCATGTGTGATACCCCACTCTGCAGACACGAGGCCCCTTCCCTGAACCCCAGCTCAGGTCCAACTCCAAACCCCGGAAGATTCAACTCCCTCTCCCGAAGGAGGGAAAGCCACTGGCGTCCCTGCACGAGGGGGCTTAGGGCAGGTGGGCCGAGAGGCTACCCGCGAAGGGTCAACAAGGCAGAGAACTCGGGCCCCACAGCCCCTCAGGAGACCACCAGAAAGCAGGGTGTTTGGCCCTGGAGTCCCATCCCCACCCGACAGGCCCACATGGCCTGGGCCTCAAGCAGGCACGAGGAGGAGCTGAAGCTACAGGGTCGGGCCCGGGGAGCGGGGGCCCTGCCTTCCTTCCTCAACACACAGGGCTGCCCAGGCCCCGCTCCTGGGGCCCAGCCTATACCCCACAGATACTGGTGTCAGATGCCTCCAAGATCGGAGAAGTTCCAAGTCAACTGGCTGTGGATGGCACAACACAGGCCCTGGGAGCAGGGCCAGGGGCCAAGACGGCTCGGCCGCGGTCAACGCTCTGCATGGCCCTCAGCGCACCCGGGGCTGCAGCACACCAGCTTGACTGCTCTGTATCCAGCTCTGGCTGGACCCCACCCTGCCCCCTGTGGCTCCCCCCAGCTCTAGTGTCACTACCCTTGACTTCCCTGGGGCAGAAATGAACACAGGGCTTTGGGCATGAAAACCAGCACAAGCCCCCAAGCTCACTGCTCAGCAACCCCTAGGAGAGTCCAGAGTTGCCTGCTGGCAGGAGGAGGGGGGGAGGTCTGAGGACCGGACACCCCACACCTTGGAGACACAAGCCTGGAGCTGCAGAGGCCTCCCCACAACTCCAGATCCTCACTGGTGGTCTGGCCCTTTAAGACACAGCCTGGGGGCGCCTGGGGGGCTCCATCTGTGAAGCGTCTGCCTTGCGCTCAGGTCATGATCCCAGGGCCCTGGGATGGAGCCCCGCATCGGGCTCCCTGCACAGCAGGAAGCCTGCTTCTCCCTCTCCCACTCCCCCTGCTTGTGTTGCCTCTTTCACTGTGTCTCTTTCTGTCAAAGTAAGTAAAATCTTTAAATAAAAAAAAAAAGACCCAGCCTGGCCACCCAGAAGGACCAGCCAGAGCCTCTTCCTGGGCTCCTTCAGGGTGTACAGGCACTCAGGAGCCCAGGCCTGTAAGAGCCAGCTCCTCTTCTAACGCCTCCCTCAAGGTCACCAAGCCATCACCAGCTCCCTGACCCCACCCAAACCCCTCTGTTGCACTTGGCCAGGCCACCCGTGCCCTTAGCGCAGGGACTATTAGCGACAGGTATTAGTGCTTTCTTGACATGGTTTACAAGGGAATGCAATGCCTACTTGAAGCTCCTAGATGGCCCACCGTGACTTCCAGCACAATCCAGGCTACCACTAAACCGTGTCCCAGGTCACCAGCCTCCAAGGACAGGCACTGCAGAGGCCATCAGGCCCATACAGAACGAAGGCAGAGGGAACATTCTGATTCCAAAGTGAGAGCAGCCCCACATGCCAAGAGGTGGCCCTCGACCCTGGGAAGGAAGAGAGGGGGGCTCAGGACACTGGCAGAACCAGGCCTGGGGCTGGCTGCCAGTCGCCCTGTCTGCAGGAGCCCTGCCCCACCCCCGCCATCAAACCTGGACCAAAGACCTTCAAAGGTCCACAGAGGACCCAGCATCCCAGCCCTCAGCCCCCTGAGCCTTAGTGGGTTGGCACAGGGGTGTAAGAAGGGGAAGCCAGAACTCCTGGAAGGCGGGGCCGGGGGCCTCCAGTTTTAACTTCTTACGTTTCTTCCAAACACATTCTGTTGATCTTCAAAATGCCAAAGACAAGATGCTCAAATTTTAAAGCTCAACAGCTGATAACACACTTGATAACAAAAATCTGTAATATTTAGAAACAAATGTGATTAAATTTATGTGTCTGAATAAATCATGCTTTAGATCTAATATAAAACGTGTTAAAATTTGTATGCATGCCAAGTTACATCACTTTAGCACATTTTAAAAAGCACAGGCGGTTGTCAGCTCAGCTGCTTGTGTCCCTACGCCCCTCTCGCCATGGTGGGGTCACTGGCCTGCTCCCTTCCCACCCTAGGGTGTTGGTGCCGCCCTGGGCAAAGGCTCTGCTGGGTCAAGGCCCTTTAGGCATGCAGAGAGCAATGACTTGCAGACAGCGTCTGCAGCACCGTCCATCCCTCCCTGGACTCTCCTGTCCTTGCCTGGCGGCTAATCCATCTCCAAGTCACCGGGGTTCCTTCCTCCAAAAGAGATCTGCTTGCCATCTGTTGCCTTCTCTTCCTTGATGCACCTACCTGTTCAGACCACGTCTGCGGCAGGGTGCACCCTCCTTCCTCCCACTGAGTCATGGAGTAACGACCGTTTGCCAGACACCGGCCGGGAACGCCGGAGGCACCTCGGTGAACAAAATCCGAAAGCTCTGGCCCGCTGGGTACCGAGATTTACTCTTCCCAGCCTCTTGCCTGGGCTCGGGGCCACTACTTTGCCAGAAGAGTCAGCCTCCCTGCCCGCACTGTCCACCGGCCAGAGGAGTGACGGTTCAGCGCGGGATGCTGCACATGCTCCATGTCGCCCCAGCACCGCTGAACCCCACATTCCTAGCCCCGGCCTGCGAGCCGCCACCCCGGCCTCCCCTCGCTTCTTCCGACGAGCCTCCGCGCCGCTGCACCTGCTAGTCCCTCTGCCGGGCGCGCGCTCCTACTGCGGTCCCAGCCGCAGCGTCACCTCCTCGGAGGCGCTTCCCGCTTCACATCATGTCTTCTACCCTGCCTTTCGCTCCCAGTTGGCGATGGCCGCACTGCCCCCTATCCAGGCTCGGGACCCGGCCGAGCCCCGCTAGCGCAGAAGCGGGGTCCGCACCGTCACTCCGCACACCTCGTGTGGTTTTTAATCTCACCAACCCGTCCCTGCACCTGCCTGGCCCCCTGCGCCCTGCGGGCCCCACGGTCCGCCGCCAGAATCCGCCGCGCCCGCACTGCCCGCACCGCCCACACTGCCCCGCCACCCCGCGCGCGCTGTAGCGGGATCAAGGGCTGCGAGCCCAGTGCGCGTGCGCAATGGGCGGGGCGGGGCCGCGGCCGCGTTAACTCCCTCCGCGCCGGCCCGGGAACTGCCCGCGCGGCGCGGCCCCCAGCCAACAATCTGCGGGCCCCATGTGGGACGCACCCAGCCGCGGGTAGCCCCAGATACCTCCGCAGGGAAGGATATAGAAGAAGAGTCCCCGACGCGGCTCACCAGAAACGGCCGTGGCCCTTTAACACTCCCCTCGCTCGCTCCCATTGGCTGAGGCGCTTTACGTCATCGCTGCGCGCCCGACAACGGCGCCTTCCCGCTCCCTAATCCTGACGCCAGAGAGGCGCGGGCTTTAGCGGCTGAAGACAGCGGGAGGAGGTTGCGGCGGCGGGAAGATGTAAGTTGGGGGAATCCGACCCCATCCGAGCTTCGGGGGCTGCCCGCAAAGCTCGGCGGGGCGCGTGGTTGGAGCCGGCCCGCCCCTCGGCCTCTCGGTAGGCACGGCAGCCTGGCGGCGCGGCAGCGGGTATGAGAAGAAAGAGTGTGGCCCGGGGCGGGCGGAGTGGGAGGTGCCGAGGCCGCGGCCCGGAAGTGGTCGGGGCCGTGGCGGGCGGAAGGGCGCCTCAGATCGTCCCCCCTCTGCGGCGCGCCCGGCTAGGCCCGCGGGACTCGGAGAAGCCGGGAGCGCGGCTTCCGCCTTCGGGGCTCTGCCGTCGGCGTGGAGACCCAGGCCCGCCACGCCAGGCCCTGCCCTGGAAGCGCTTGCGGCCCGGCGCCTGAACTGGGGAGTTGTGAGTGAACGCGGACGGGGACGGCGGGGGCGGAGATGCTTTGTGGGGTGCCCTGCAGGACCGGCGGACCCTCCCCTCGGGGCCACTAGCTGAGTGGGCCGTGCCCTGGTCGGTGCGAGCCCCTCGGGGACGCGGCCCCCGCTGTCCCTCAGCGCGGCCGCACGGGCTGCCCCAGAAGGGAGGATACGGGAAAGCAAAGTCGTGGCCTTTTCCTCTTAATTTCGCATGACTTGTTCCGAAAATGCACTTTTCAGTGGGGAAGGTGCTCTGAAGATGGGAGCCGAAACGCCATCTGCTCGAGGTTTAACTAACTGTTCTTTCTCTCTCTGGCTGTTGGACGCGCACCTTTCCGGAGGATGGGGGAGGTAACCGAGGTCCTGTGCTGTGACCCCAACTTGTGTGAACAGAGAGCCTCAGTCTCTGCTGTCTAGCACTCGGCCACGCCCGGCAAAGTCCGCTCGCCCTGTGGTTCTTGATGTGTAGAGCTTGAGAATCCCGGTGGTGCTCGTTGTCGCGGGGTACCTTGGGGCAGACCTTTGGGACTGGGGTGGGGCCCGGGAGTGTGCCCTGCAGGTCCGTGTTGCTCAGGCAGGCAGCCCGGGGCCACACTGAGGGGTTTGAGGGGCTTAGTGTGGGGCGGGGGGAGTGTTTTATGAATGAGTTTTTACACCGGTTGAACGTGGAAAAGATGATATTTGGGGTTATGGGCTTTCAGATACTTTACTGAACGTCAGTTTCATCTGTTAACCTTTTTGCTCGGTGGCTACTGGAACATTTTAGGATGTGCTTGTAGCTCACACTGTTTCCGTTGGACAGTGCTGCACGTGGTGATCCCCTAATGGGGTGGCCCAGGGACCCCTGTTGAGCATTCAAGAGGTCATGTGAGACTTTGGGACACCAGAGTTTATGTGGGGGGGAAGCCTCCAAACACGGAGAGACATCTCTTTCTTCTAACATAAGCTAACCTTTACTGAGCCTTAACTAGGTGCCAAGTTTGGTAACTATGGAGGTGTAGGAGCTGTAATTGTCACCGTAATGCTCATGCGAAGTGGAGGCTCAGAAAGGTTATGTGACTTATCCAAGGTCACACAGCAAAGCTTCGAATCAAACAGGCAGGCTGGGTCCACAGATTCTTACCCACTGAACTGTAATTCCTGATTGGTGGCCACTGACCGTGTCTATCCAGTGTTGCTTGCTCAGTACCTGTAGTACCTTATTGTTTTAAGGCAAAACATCTTAAACAATTTTACCAGCCTGGAGAAGAGCAGCAGAAGTGACAGACATTCTGCTTTCTTTTGCTCTAATTTGATTGTCCAAAGCTGGCCTTCTTCCTTGAGTCACGACATTTACTCGGCATTTTGAGCAGCCCTACACGTGTGAAAACAGGATCCCAAGTGGTTGCCTTGTCCGGGTTACTTAGAGGCTGTTGAGGAAGATGAGATAGAAGTAGATGACACCAACATCCTGAGATCTTTGCCTGCAGCTCAAGCAAACTGTAGAAAACTTCCCTGGAAATACTGAAGGTCAAAGATCCCCCAGGAGACAAGGCACGTAATGGATTAGTAGTTTGTTCTAAGTCATATTTACTGAGCACATGCTGCAGTGCGGGCACTTTGTTAGACCCTTACGATCAGTGTCCTCCAATTCCAATGCCTCCCCCCCACATACACACACACACACACACACACACTTTATTTTGGGCGAAAAATGTAAACATACAGAAAGGTTGAAAGAATTGCACAGTGAATACCTGCATAACCACCACCTAGATCCTACAAGTCGCATTTCTGCCATATTTGCTTTATCATATACCAAACCACCCATCAACATTTTCTGTTGCATTTTGAAGTAAATAGCAGACTTTGGGGTACTTTCCCCATAACACTTCCATATGCATTTCATTAACTGAAGTTCAGCATTTGCAAGGACTGCTTTCTAACTTAACTATTTTACTGCTTTTTCAATGTTCACATGGGACATTTTATATGTTTGCATTTGGGTGTTAAATGTTTTGATGGTGGTACCTGTCACTTTTGAAATGGTTTTTGCTTCCAGTTATCATATATCCAATGTGTCCTACAAGGAAATTGCAGCAGTAAAACAAGAGATCTAATCACACCAGTAATCCTATCAGAAGAGCCACATTTGGCTTTTTTTCTGTTCTGCCTGCAAATGTGGTGGTGTAGTATTTCTAAGGGGATGGTAGAGGGCTTATCATCAAACTAAGAAGTGAAACACGGGTATTGTACCAACTGTAAAACAAGTGACAGGCACCACCACCGTTTCCTTATGGAAAAGACGACAAGGTGAGGTGAGGGTCTGCCTGTGGGGCGGGACTGTCCCTGAGGAAATGGAAGAGGTCCCTGGATGTTCCTGGCTTTGTGGGCGCTCGCTGCTTACTGTGTTCCTTGCCACCACCTCGTGTGCTCACCTTTTGACTGCAAAGTAGATTTGTTGCCTTGCCAACTCGTTCACTCTGTAAATCCTTTTATCTTGTTATTAGGCTGCACTTTGGCGTAAATTGCAATCGATTAGGGATCGTTTCTCAGACTCGAGTTAGAAGTGAGAGTTCAGATAAGTGAGGCCACCATTGCTGCTTTGAACACCTCAGAAGGGGAGAATGGATTTATCAGGAGTGAAAAAGAAGAGCTTGCTAGGAGTCAAAGAAAATAATAAAAAGTCCAGCACTAGGTAATCCTTCTGTCAGATTTTTCTAGTGCTACTTTGGGGGTGCTCGTTACTAGGGACCCTCAGAAAGGGGAAGATTGGAAATGTTTTACATATTACAGTGATGTGTCCTAAGCCACAGATCATTTTGCTCTGGGATCACCTGGGATCTCTGTAGCCCTTTGGATCCCCTCTTTTGGGTAGTGTTGTTTCTGGGTTTGGTCAGAGGGACATGCGATCTCACACTCCTCCTCACCATCCAGGGCTCCTTCTCCTACCAAACGCAAAGACCGCTCTGATGAGAAGTCCAAGGATCGTTCTAAAGATAAAGGGGCCACCAAGGAGTCAAGTGAGAAGGATCGTGGCAGGGATAAAACTCGGAAGAGGCGCAGCGCTTCCAGTGGTAGCAGCAGCACCAGGTGGGACCCCGCAGGGCAGAGCACTGCGCCAGCCTCTCTTCTGTGGCCACGCCCCTTTCCCTTCTCGAAAGAGCCCAGAGAGTCCTCATTATTTACACAGAAAACACTTTGAGCCCGTTCATCAAGGCCCTAATTATGGCAGAGTGGTTTGGGTCTGCTCTGGTTATATATGGAAGATGGCCTTTGGGTGTTTTCTAGAGGTGTTAACGAATGGGACATCTTGGGGTATGTGTTTCTCTCAAGTGCTTTTTTCTTCAGAGTCATGATTGGGTTGCCCTAGCCTAAAGCTTATTTTTTCTCCAGTTGAAAAGCAGCCTGAGTCCCTCGGTAGTCACCTTCCAGGCTGGGTTGGTGCTTCCGACTTGCCAGACTCTATCTGTACCTCCCAGTAGGTGAGGCTTCTGTATAGCTAGGAAGTGCCCCCTTCCTTCCTTGTCGCTGCACAGTGTGGATGCTGTTTTCTGTCCCCACCTAGGGCTTTGGCCAGGCAGGGGTGGGGTAAATACCATCCCCACTCCCTGAGGAAGGGAGACATTGAGGCTTGAAAACAGGAGGACAGTGGTTTCCTCTTGGGAGCATGAGCACGTGGAGGCTTGTCTGTTCGGAAGAAATGCTCCCATCCACTGTTGCCCATGACACATCTGTCTCATTTGTCAGGTCCCGGTCCAGCTCTACCTCTAGCTCGGGCTCCAGCACCAGCACCGGCTCCAGCAGTGGCTCAAGCTCTTCTTCAGCGTCTAGCCGCTCAGGAAGCTCCAGCACATCCCGTAGTTCCAGCTCCAGCAGCTCCTCTGGCTCGCCAAGTCCTTCTAGGCGCAGGCATGATAACAGGAGGCGCTCCCGCTCCAAGTAAGCTCCCTTCCAGCACCACTTCTCTGCTCAGGAGTGCCCCTAAAACTTGTGAATTATCTGGGAACTTAAGTTTACAAATGGGGGTCTGTAAAGTTATGGTAGTTACTATAGAAGTAGAGCTAAAAAGGAGTCTTTCTATTTTAGTAGGATTTCTGAAGCAGAGATAATATGAATATACATGAACTGGTAGGGAAAGCTTCCTTATAAAAAACTGTCATCGAGGGCGCCTGGGTGGCTCAGTTGGTTAAGCGACTGCCTTCGGCTCAGGTCACGATCCTGGAGTCCTGGGATCGAGTCCCGCATCGGGCTCCCTGCTCGGCAGGGAGTCTGCTTCTCCCTCTGACCCTCCCGACCCTCCCCCCTCTCAT